ATGGTGACTCCACCAGCATACCACAGGGTCTGGTGAAATGGTGACTCCACCAGCATGCTGCAGGTTCTGGTGAAACGGTGACTCCACCAGCATGCTGCAGGTTCTGGTGAAATGGTGACTCCACCAGCATGCCACAGGTTCCGGTGAAACAGTGACTCCACCAGCATGCCGCAGGGTCTGGTGAAATGGTGACTCCACCAGCATGCTGCAGGTTCTGGTGAAATGGTGACTCCAGCAGTCTGATGGGTCAGTGACGCACAGGACATCTGCTCCATCACTCCTTGTGTCTCAGGCTGTAGCTGGTGCCATCTTGAGAGAGTACCTGTACTTAAGACTGGGACACCCTGAGGCCCAGAGAGAGATGGGGACAAAAAAAAAAACAGTGCAAAGAATCAATGAAACAGGGAGCTGATTCTTTGAGAAAATAAACAAGATCAATAAACCAAAATAACCACAAAATAAAAGAAAAAGGCCAAAATAACCACAAAAGGAGAAGAGTCCAAATAAACAAAATTAGAGATGAAAAAAATTAGAGATGTTCACAGGACACCAATGAAATCCAGAAAACTGTTAGGGAACGCTTTGAAAACACGTATTTCAAAAGAGCTGGACCGTCTAGAAGAGATGAACAAGGCTCTGACATATGTGATCTACCAAAATTAAACCAAGAGCATACCAGCAACTTCAACAGGCCCATAAAAACAGTGAGATTGAAGCAGTAATAAAAAAATTTCCCCACAAAGAAAAAAAAGCACAAAACCAGGACAGATTCACTGCTGAATTCCATCAGCCATTCAGTCACTCTAGACAGCCAGCATTAGACTGACCCAAAGCAGACGAGAACACGTACACATACATTCATGCATGTACATACATACTTACATTCACACGCACACATTCCAGTACATATTTACATATGTACACATCACACACAAACAGAAACCATAAACAAATTTCCCTAAAGAACATAAATATAAAAATTGTCGATGAATACCAGCAAGCCAAATTCAACAATACATCAAAAAGATAACCTCATGGCCAAGACGGTTTCATTCCTAAGATACAAGGATGGTTCAAAATACACAAATCAATAAATGGAACACAGCACATAAGTAGAAGTAAGGACCAAAATCATGTGATCATCTCAGTAGATGCAGAAAAGGCCTTTGACAATGCTTAACATCCTTTGAAAACTAGGAATGTAAGGAACATAGTCTCAACATAATAACAGGCATGTACTGCACACCTGTAGGCAGCCTTTTGCAAATGGAGAAAACAGTATCTCCTCTAAAACAGGAAGTGAGACAAAGTGTCCGCTCTCCTGACTCTTATGTAATTGTGCTGGAAGTCTTAACTACAGCTATAAAGAGAAAGAACACAACAGAGGGATGCAAAGTGTCACAAGCTTTGGACTGCAGCCTCCCACAGCCCTCCTCTGTGGTCTCCTGGTTCCTTCACATCTGGGCACACAGTCAGCCTTGTTTGCCACAGAACCTGATCTTATAAAAGTGGAACTGAGCTGGGTGGTGGTGGTGGTGGTGGTGGTGCACACCTTTAATCCCAGCACTTGGGAAGCAGAGGCAGGCAGATCTCTGAGTTCAAGGCCAGCTTGGTCTACAGAGTGAGTTCCAGGACAGCCAGGGCTATAGGGCGAAACCCTGTTTCGAGGACGGGGGCAGTAGAACCAAGATGCTGGGTCACACAGAGCACTGCATCCAATACCTTCCTTTGTATGTGAAGATCCCAAAGCCCAGCCTCTCTACCCTTTCACAGCCCACAATGGCAGCCTTGGCTCTTCTTGCCTCAGACAGGGGTACTGGGCTCCTAAGCAGAGAGGATGCCGCAGACACTTCCTGACCTACCCCGGGACTGAGAGCACGTGAAACAGGAGTCACTGTGAGGTTCACAGCCCTGCCTGGCTATGATGTCCAACAATCATACATAAGACTAGGCTTGGGCGGGCATGGCAAGCTTAACAGGAGTGGTGCTTGCTATGGTTGGAACGCACACCCCAAAATCACGTGTTGGGAATTCAACACTGGATGTGCCGGCTTTGAAAGGTGAGCTCTTCTACCCTCTGCCATAGGGTGGAACAGCATGAAGGCTCTCTTCACCAGCTCCCTAGCATCTAGAACAGTAAAAAATAAACCTCTATTCTTTATAAACTGCTCTGCCTTGGGTGTTCTGTTACAGTATCACAAATGGACTAGCCATAAGGATGCTTTACTGGGTCTAGAGAAAGCGGTCTCTTCTTGGCTTCTTCCTCCCTGCTGAGACTTCACTGTCCCATTCTTTCTTCATATAAGAGCTGCAGTCAGATGCCTCCGCCTGCCCAGTGGGGCAGGGCCACAGAGAGCTGTTACCCATCAGAGACCAATCTTTTCTGTGTCTTAAGCTTGTGGAAGTCAGAGGGGAAACAGACCCCCACCTCACAAATGAAGGCTCTCATAGCATTGCAAGTTTAAAGCATGCCTAGGTGCCCCAGCCAAGGGATCGCCTGCCCCGTGAGTGCTCAGGGCCTCTGCTCCGAGTCACCCTGCCCAAGCTACAAGTCTCTATTTTCCCTCTGTTTACCTTAGTTTTATGACTCCCAGGCCTAGGAAGGCGAAGGAGAGGAGCAGACATGGGGTAATACAACCTCCTCACCAAAGACATGACCACTGCCCCCGCTGTCCAAGGCCTGAGCAAAACAAGTCTCCCCCAGGAAACTCAGCAAAGCAGAGCTGCGGGGCCAAACACACTCGTGTCTGGGAAAGGAATTCGTCTTTCGCAGAAGGCATTAGCAAACAGAGCCATAAACTTGGAATCCACAGTCGGACATGTCAGAGGCTCAGAGGAAAGCCTTAACTCCTGTGAACCTCTCTAAAACGTCATCTCTAGAACATCCAGACTTGAAATGTGGCCGGTGGTGGCTGGGTGCCCATCCCATTATGTGCAGACTTAAGCATCCGTGGCATGGTGTTTTCGCAATAAAACCTTCAAATCAAACCCAGTACACCGGATAGAAAGGCATCCAAGATATCTCTTGGGGCTGAAAATAAATACACAACACACTTTTGAATTCCATCTGTAAAGGGTATTGGGATGATTTCTCAAGGGTCTGCTGATCTGTTGATCACATCTGGGCTCTTGTAGCTGCTAACTCTAGTAAAGGCCATCTAAATGGGTTTCAATAGGCTGACCAACACCCATAGTCAAGGTCAAAAATTAAGCATGTGTGAAGTTTTGAGCTTCTCCATGTCTCAAGTGTCTTTATGTATTTACTTACAAATGCTGGGCCCCTGGCAGGATTTAATCTCAGCCCTTTCTCCTTTTGTCTTATGAAGAAAAAAAATCACAGCTTTTTGCTGTCCCAGGATGGTGCATTTACATGTCACTCATTTGCCCCCATAAAATCCCTAGCCGGTGATGTGTCTGTCACCAGCTAGACTCTGCAAAGACCAGAGAGACTAAGAACTGTTCCTGTCCCCAAGGTGTCCATAAGCATGAGAACCAAAGGAAGCCACAGCCTGTGGAGACAATCCTGAACTCTCAGTGACTCAGCAGGAAGAAGCTTGTCCCTTGTGGGTTGGGGTAGGAGGAGTCTCCTCCACACAGGAGCTCAGGGCTTCTGGGGCTGGCAGACATTTTTTTTTTTAATTTGTTTTTGAGACAATATTCCCAACTCATGATCCTCCTGCCTCAGCTTCCTCTGTGCTGGGATTACAGATGGGTGCCACAGCTGCCTCTTTTCATTGGACCCATAGATATGGGGAGGAGAGACCATAAAGGGAGATACCCAGAGTTTAGGGACCAGCCACGTCCACCATGGGTGTAGACCTCAGCCCAGAGTCACATCAACTGGCACTATAAAGAGAGCATAGTGCGGATTAGCCGATGCCCATGAAGGAAAGAGCAAAGAAAAAGCATGAAGTCACACCACGTGTGAACACACTCCTACCAGGTGTGAACACACCACTCACACCACATATGAACTTGACCCTCATAACACATATAAACACACACTTCTACCACATGTGGACTGTGGTAATATTTGTTTTGTGCTGAAATGTGGTGATATTTTACTTGTATGTTAATAAATAAAGTTTGCCTGGAGATCAGAGGAAATAGCAAGCCATTAACACAAAAGTCAGGAAGTGGTAGCACATGCCCTTAATCCCATCACTTAGCAGGCAGGGTCTCTGTGTGTTCAAAGTCACACTAGGGAACAGAGCCAAGCATGGTGACACATGCCTTTAATCCCAGTACCAACCATAGAGACCTGGAGGTCTGTACAAACAGGCAGTGAAAAGGAAGTGAGGTAGCTGGGCTAAGAGCCAATGAGAGGGCAGAAAAGCAAGACAATAAAGGTTAGATAGGAATTAGCTCGCATTTTGGAAGCTACAGAGCTGGTGAGGTAAGGTGGTTGGTGGCTCTCACTATTTCCCTGACCTCTAAGGCTTTCACCCCTATATTTGGCTCCGTGTTCTTTATTTAATAAGACCGCTTAGAAATTCATCTGCAGTGGACACACTCACACCACATGTGAACTGGTCATTCACAAACAAAAAAGTGTTCATCATGTATGAACACTCACCACATATAACCAAATACTCCCACTGTTTGGGAGCACACAGTCATAGCACATGTAGACACACCAGTCACAGAAGTCAGTGACCAACTCACCATGTATAAACACTCACCACATGTAACCAAATACTCCCACTGTTTGGGAGCACACAGTCATAGCACATGTAGACACATCAGTCACAGTAGTCAGTGACCAACT